ACGCTCAACATGTGAAAACCAATGATTGCCTATGGGCATTGTTCCCACCTGGGCGTTTTACAGCGCATAGGAACGCGCTGCAAAATGCCCTACGCCCAAAGAAGTACAGGAGCTTCTTTGGGGCATTTATCCACGTGTTTCCATCGGTATTCCCGAGCGTGGATCGGGGTTAACAAAGCGATAACCCCAAGCCACACTCGGGAATACAGCGTACAGGTGTTACCTTGTCCGCAATCTCCGCTGTGTCCTCCGGCGGCTGCCGTATTCCGTCCCTTGCGAGCGGCCGCGTCGCAGGGGGGCGGAGCCGGCGGGAAGTTTAAAAGTGAAACTAAAAAAAAATAATTTAAAATAGAGAAAATAAAGGGAAAAAAATCATACCGCCAGTGAAACGCGCGTTTCACTGAACAGAAAAACGCGCTAAAAAATGCGGACAAAAACAAGCTGAAAAAATACACTCCGGTGTGAACCCAGCCTAAAGTGTTCTTTGCCACATTGTGATTTATTTCTATATATTATCACACTATATTGCCTCTTTTTACGGCTGATTTGATCTAATGTTAAAGGTATTGCTTTTGAGATTGCCAGGACATGTGATCTACTAAAAAAAAAAGAACGTATAGAAGAATAGGCCACCATCACACCAGAGGTCCACTCTCATTTAATCATCACATGCAAATGCATTGCTTCGGGAGCTTGTGAGGTCACACTACCTTCACCTGATGAAGGGACTGCACAAGGATCCAAAATGTTGCATTTGCATGTGATGCCATGTTTATCTGACGTCAAATAAAGACGGGATGATAAAGTGGACCTCTAGTGTGCTGGTAGCTTATTCTTCTACGATCTATGCGGTGCCATCTGCAGGCCATTGCAGCACCCACCAACATACTTCAAGTGGTAATCCGTCTGGAGTGCGATGGTATATTCACATACTAAAAAAAGAAGGGACATACTCCATTCTGAACACCCATCACTATTCAGCTCAAATAGAAATATATTTCTACATGGGAAAATGATCTTATTATTCTTCTGGATATGAAGAACTGAATTATGTTAAGCACAGCCAAGTGTGCAGCTAATATTTCTCACAGTGAGACGTCCATCACATTTTGCATAAGTCTTATCTAACTTTTCTAAGCATTTCGGTCTCACCAGGACTGCGTTTGGGTCTCACTAGGGCTGAGTGCAGATCTTAGCAGGGATGCATGCAGATCTCACCAGGGCTGCGTTTGGGTCTCACCAGTGATGCGTGCAGGTCTCACCAGGCATGCGTGCAGGTCTCACCAGGTCTCACCAGGGATGCGTGCAGGTCTCAGCAGGGATGCGTGCGGGTCTCACTAGGGATGCGTGAGGGTCTCACCAGGGATGCGAGCGGGTCTCAGCAGGGCTGTATTTGGGTCTCACCAGGGATGTGTGCAGGTCTCACCAGGGATGCATGCAGATCTCAGAACGGATGCGTAACAAGTTTCATCAGGGCTGCATCTGGGTCTCTCTAGGGCTCTGTGGGTGGGTGCCAGGCTCTCAAGGGCTCTGCATGCAGCTGCTGGGCTCTCTAGGGCTAAACGGGTGAGATCCAGGCTTGTTCCGGGCTCCGGGGCTGTGCTGGTGGGTGTGGGGCTGTCATGTGCTGTGCCGACCCCACAAAGGAGGAGGAGGAGGCAATTTGCAGCCAGACAGGCACTATCAAAGACAGCTGCTGGAGGTCCTAAATAAATTTAAAGGGACAGTATCGGCTGTGCCGCCCCTCTACTCCCTGCCAGCCTAAGGCCGTGGCCTTGTGGGGAATCTGGCCCTGGAGTCTAGACCATTACAGCTTTATCAGCTTAATAGACATGCCATTCTCAAACCTTGGCCAAAAATATGGAGTTGGCCCCCTTTCAACTCTTCTGGACCGTTTTTTACAAGATTTGAGAGTATGTATGTGGGAATTATTGCCTATTCAGCTAAAAGAGGATTTATGAGGTCAGGTACTGATGTTGAACGAGAAGACCTGGCTCACATTCGGCATTCCAATTCATCCCATAGGTGTTCAGTAGAGTTGATGTCAGGGCTCTATGCAGGCTACTCATTTTAACATGGTCTAATAACTGCCCAGTTGTCCCACAACAGGCAATGCAACATGTCAGATTAGTAAGGAATTGTGATTTTCAGTTTAAAAAACAACTTGCCTAAAAACCCCTCTTATGGTCTTACTCAATGTCTCCATTCTGAGCTGCTCTAATCATTATCAGTTCAGAGCTGAGTTATTATTTATTAGTTGCTGCGACAAGTGATAATTGTATTATCTCTTTTAAGTCAGACTGTTCAGCAAGCAACTTGAAGAGTCAGAGTCCCTGTTGACAATGCTGAAAAAGAAATTCAAACGCCATGAACAACGTGATTTGAAAATCACCTGGGGCTAAAAACTAACACTGTGCCCCTTCAAGCTCATTGTACATATTCTCAATCTATGCTGCATGAAATGCATGCTAATAAGCCAATGGCCTTCAAAAGCTGTTACCTGTCATTGACTCTACGAGTGGCCATATGCAGAAACAGATGTTTATTTAATATGGACAATGTTGGTCAATCATATGGCAACTCTATGCAGTATGCACTGAGAACAAGCAGTTGGACTGTAAAAACAAATTAACACTCTGTTAAAATTGAGATTTTCATATAAAAGCCAACTGATACAGACTGTGGATTAAAGGATAATCCAGATTATTTTAGTTTGCCATGTTCTTCTTTTGTACACACCTTTCATGTGAAAAATATGGGGGCTGCTATTGCGTACCCCATTCTGATGCTAGTGCTAGTTGCCTGGCTGTTATGCTGACCAACTAGCATCAATACTTTGTGCAATAGACCTAGAACAAGTACGCAGATTAAAAAAAACAAAAAATCATGCCATTATCCACACCAGGTCAGTGACTTAAGGTGCCCATATGCCTTGCGATTATCGTATCAAAAATGAACGCGAACGCGTTTTCGTACGGTCATCGGCCAGTTGATGGGAGGTGCACGATTACTGTTACTGTACAACTGGCCGAATTTGGTTGAACGGGCAGGCTAGAAAACTTTTGTCGAAACGGACGAAAATCAATGGATTAGTGGCGTTTTCACTCAAAAAAATCGCAACATGAACATTGCACGTGCACAAATGAAGATCTGTTCTGTCGATCGACAAAATCCGGCCAGTTAGTATTGCTGATGAACGATTATCAAAATCTACATTGGTCTGTGCATGATGGGCTAAGGTGTATGGGCAGCTTAAAGCTACTGAACACTAAGGATGGGCTCGGGCGTGTTCGCAGTTCCACATGCTGAGCCCGCCAGGAAGCTGACAGCGCGCAGTGCCAATCGCAGTCACTGAGACATTTCCCGATCTCTGCAGCTGCGGACCGGGAAAAAGTCTCAGTACCTGTGATTGGCGCTGCGCGCTGTCAGCTTCCTGGCGGGCTCGGCACGTGGAGCTGCAAACACGCCCGAGCCCATCCTTACTGAACACAAGAAGGTCAACATGATAGCCAAGCAAATATATATATAGCACGGAGAGATTATTTTTATTGCTTATTCAGTAATACAGAAGCGAGAAGCAGTTTCAAACATCTATGCTTTTGTTCAAGCTAGAGTTTACAAAGTAGCTAACGGTATAGATAGCCCAGAACCAGAATTACATAGTAGCATAGCAAACAAACATATACATACTAAACTATACAAATTAACAACAGGTGTCTCTGCTGATCTTAACACAGGATTAACCCAATGTTTCCTTAGTTCAACACATACACCTAAAAGTGCCCATACACCTGACGAATATCACACGGTGATCCCGCGATCGTACGATAATCGTAAGGTGTATGGGCAGCGTGCGACTGCATTTACTGTAAGGTCGCACAACTTTCGTCTTACGAGCACGCTAGAAAACCCGCCGAAAATCGTGCAATTTTCGGCGGGTTGGTAGCGCGATCGTAAGACGAAAGCCGCACGGGCCGGTGCGCAAGCGCACACTGCCCACTCAGCATTGTGATCATCGGCAAGCCCTCCCCTGTCCAAGATGGGCAGGTCGTACGAAATGTTATTCATCTTACAACCATCGCACAACGAAAGTCTTGCAATGGTTGTAAGGTGTATGGGCAGCTTTAGGCCCTATTCACACCTAAGCATTTTGTGTACACATGTCAAATGCGCGGGGAAAATGTGAGCTTTAACCCGCGTTTGTGAGACACCTAAAAACACGAAACGTGCTTGCTGTGCCATCACTAGTAAATGGCAACCCAAAAGAGGCCAGGCAAACATTTGCACGTAGAAAAAAATGCGGAATACATGTTGCAGATTTCGCACATTGTTATTGCGGTGCAGCACATGGTGCAGTAAGGTGTGTTAGGGTGTTGTTAACACTGAACAGTACCGCAGTTTTGATGTACCCTTTGGCAGCGTTTCTCCAAATTTTGTGGCACCCTTTAAAAGTATGCAAAATCTCGAGGCACCCCAGCCTTATATGTAAAAATGTAAAAAAAACAAAGTGTGGTTTCCCTCAAAATCTATAACAAATCCTTATCCTAGAGTGGGGTATGGTATGGATTTTAGGGGGGGACCACACGCAAAAAACAAACTCTTCACACTAAAGTCCCCTCTTTCATATCAGAAGCCCCCTTTCCCATCAGATTTCCCAATGTTCATGTCAGAGTGCCCCCTTCACATCAGGAGCAGCTCATTAGTGGTTGGCTGCAGAAGAAGGACTGAAGCCCATAGTAGGGATCTGCACTGGTGTCCAGCATGAAGCCAGTCAGCACCTGTCCTGGTTTTTAAGCTCACCTGTCCTACTAATCTCAGTTGGCTTGACTGCCCAGCTAGGTGTGTGATCAGTCCAGCCAGCCATGTCTGCAGCCAGAGCCCAGACAGTTTATGACAAGTGGCATCACCCACCCTCCAGGTGCTGGGCCAACGAGCTCATCATCACCCGGTCACCTTTCCTTGCACCCTCCAATGGCACCTTTAGGTTTGAAGATGAGGAGGTTTATGAACGGGAAAACAAAGGTACATTGTGTGTCTATGGCAGTCTGTGTGTGCTACCTGATCACCGCCCTGCCCCATGTCTGGAAGGGGAGGAGGAGGAGGGCAGCGCTGCTCTGACTGTCCCATTGTGTTGGGTGATCGGTGCGGTGCCAGGGACATGAGAGCAGCGCAGCTCCCGGATCAGATCACTTGTCAGGGAGTGTGCAGCCCTTGTGTGATCTCCAGACTGGGGACATGTACTGTGTGCAAGACTTCTGAACTGTCCTTGGGATCTCTGCAGGGGACATGGAGGAGGGAAGAGCCCGGTCCCAGACTGTGACCACTACTAGCAGCTCCAACTGTGACACCTTCACCACTGCAAGCCTCTCCTATGACAGGAGCTTCATCACCACTGCGCCAGGGCTGCTCCTGCTGGCAGAGACAGTGAGTATGGCATCACCTTCCATATGTCAGCCCTGTCCCATCCCTTGTGTGCATGAAGCTGGATTCATGGGATATTGTGTGTCTAACTAACTTTGAATTGGACAGGGAGGGGTTAAAGTGATAGGAAACTGATATTAAAGTTATTAAGCTATTTCAAAAGCTGATTGATTCACCTACACTGCTGCTCCTTGATGTCTAAAAGTTTTAGTTTACTGCAGAATCAGCTGGTCCCCCCCCCCCCCCCCTCCCCCCCCCCCCCAGCACTGGTCCTGATATCCTGTGTTAGGGAGGCTCCTTTCCATTGCAGGGTCCTATGGAGCCACCTTTTGTATGTACTACTACGCTGTGGGTGTCTTCACATTGACACAGATATAGCAAGGCAAGCTGCTCTCTGCTCCCCTCTCCTTCTTCCTCCCTCCAAGTTAGTAGATGGACATCTGCTGAAGTCAATCGGTCCCTTGTGATCTTGTACTGGACAGGCAGCTAAGGGAAGCCGAGAGAGTTGGAACTATTTGGAAAACATCATCACTGTATGTGCTTGGGGGGGGGGGGTCAATATAAAGAAATACTTTGCAGGACAATGTATATTTGCTTCATCTTAATTCAATATTGAAATAATGTTTTAGCGTTTCATACTACTTTAAAGCCAAACTACTACTATTTCAAATGTTGATGAAATCCACTTACAATGGATGCTGCTTCCTGATGTTTAAAAGTTTGTTTCCTGCAGAATCAGCTGCTCCCCTGACCTCTGGTTCTGATATCCTGTTTTAGGGTGGCTCCTTTTCCTTGCAGGGTCCAATGGGGCCACCCTTGTGTGTGCTAGTAAGCTCTATGTGTCTCCACAGGCACAGCAGGGCACGTCAAGCCCTTGCTCCCTTCTACCCACTCCTTCTTCCCTTCTCTAAGCTAGTAGCGATACCTCTGTTATAGTCTGTTCTGTCCCTTGTGAGCTTGTACTGTACAGGAAGTTCAGGGAAGCCGAAATGAGAGATTTGGAGCTGTTTGGAAACATGATGAGTGTAAGTGTTTGGGCAAAAATGTAAAGAAATACTTTGCTGGGCAATGGATATTTGCTTGATCTGGATTCATTATTGAAAAAAGTTTGCGCTTAATACCATTTAACAGGCATAGTCCACTTTAAAAGATCAATATATGAATGCCCACATTCATAAAAGGGGGAAAATGGGCATTTATTATTTTTGGCACCAGTAATGTACTGCAACAGCGATCGGTGGATTGGGACTATATTGCTCTGGCTCCTGCAGATTGTTCTCCAGTCCCTGTCCATACTGACTGAGGTGCAGCTTTAAGCCATTGGACGGGAGGAAGAGTGAATGGACTGCAAGTGCAGTGACGTCAAAGCGCTTGGATTCCATTGAGAACTACGTCCCTCTGCCGCGGTGACTGATGTAGTTTCTCCATTCACAGATCCTGTCAAGGGGTCTGTGAATGGATGATGAGGCTGTGACACACAGATTACAAAAAAGTCAGGAGCCTGCGGTGAGAAGAACGCCGTGATTCCGGGAAGTGAGGGGGCAGGAGGGGAAGGGATTGCGATATGACTGTGTTTTATGTTCTACCCTCAATGTGCTTGTAACATGAAACAAGGTGTTAAAGGAGAACTATGGGGTTAAGGCTTTTCCACATAGTTCTCCTTAGGGTAACGGGAGGACACAAACTAGTGTCCTCCCGTCACCCTAGGCTCAGTATACCGCAAGCTTTAGCTCGCGGTATACTGAGACGCCGCAGTATACCGCAAGCAGCTGTTCGCGGTACACTGAGATGCTGAAGCGGATCCCGACAATTGTGCCGGGATCCGCCCAGCTGCGTGACCGACAGCTGGCTCTGCCTATCTAGAGGCAGAGCCAGCTGTACCCGCCCCCTCCCGCTGGCGGATCGGAGCGGGAAATCCAGCCCCTCCCCTGTCATGGCAGAGAGCCGTGACAGGATCGAGAGGTGAGCGAACGCCGCTATGTGTTCGCTCACCTCCCGATCTACTGAGCCGACTTGTGACAGTCTCATTGTCACAGGTCGGCTAGAACTATGAGGTGAGTGAAAAGCACTCACCTCATAGTTCTCCTTTTAAACGTAAACCGCCTTTAAAACCCCGGCCAGGTTATTTATTTATTTTGCAGTGTACCATTGGGGACATTTTCCTTTGCTTCCTGTCCGAGAGACTCAACAGGAAGTTAGAGGAAATGTCCCAAAGTGAAGGGAGTTCTCTTCTTAGGCTAGCCATACACGCATTGTTTTCTTTCAGTCAGCCCGCACAGTGTAGCAGAGAAAATTACTAGATTTCCCTCATCTGTGCAAAACAGCATGGGTAGAGGCATCTTCAGTGTTGGCTGTTGTATTCAGACAACTGCAACACCTGCGGCTGTCTGCATTCCATGACTTCATCCTTAGGGTCCCCACACACCTTACGATTATCGTACGATAATCGCGGGAAATCCCGCGATGGTACGATGATCGTAAGGTGTGTGGAAGCCGTGCAACCTCTACTACTGTAAGGTCGCACCACTTTAAACTTACGGACATGTTTGAAAACCCGCTGAGCATCGTACGATGTTCGGCAGGTTTGTGGCATGTCCGTATGATAACAGCCGCACGGGCCGGTGTGCGCAAGCGCACACTGCCCGTTCGGCATTGCGGTCATCGGAAGCCCGCCCCTCAGGGGGCGTGGCTTGCGATCATCGCAAGTACGATCTGCCTATGCAACATAGGCAGATCGTACGTTTTTTTAAGTACCTTACAACCATCGCAAGACAAAAGTCTTGCGATGGTTGTAAGGTGTGTGCCAAGCCTTACTGTTCAGCTGACAATTTTCCATTTGGATCAGTTGGTTTTTCATTTGACTTTTGTTGAGCCCTGTTTATCTGTAGCAAAAATGAAGGGATTGCCAGGGGGCATACTGCTATCTCTCCGTCACTGAGTATTGTATTCACTCACAACACTTGTGATTGCCTGAATACTGTAAGGCAGGAGTAGGCAATTCTGACCCTCCAACTGTGCTTTAACTACAAATCCCAACATGCATCTGCCACTGGGGGTCAAGCCTGTAACTATCAGTCTTGCAATGCCTCATGGAACTTGTAGTTCCATAACAGCTGGGGGGCTGGAGTTGCCCACCCCTATCCCAAGGCCAGTAAAAAATGCTGCTTTTAGAGGCCTTTTTTTTATATGACTCTAAACGCAGCTCTAATTCAGCCCATGTGTCCATTCACATTGTGGAGTTTAGATACACATTTTAGAGCAGAGAGGCATAAAAATAAACTTTTTTACGCTGGATTTTTCTGCCGGAAAGATCTAGCATGGATGGGAGTATTTTACTATGCCTGTGTGTATAAGCTCTTACAGTCACTACATCTGATTGGATCCAGTCCCTATTCAGCCACCAATTTTCCTGCAGCTCAGTGGATTTTTTAAATAACTTTTGTAGAGCCGGGTGGTGGTGGTGCTGCTCAGCAGATTCAGCCAAAATTTTCAATTTGTGTATGGCTAGCATAAGACAGGTGTCCCCATTAGGTTTCCCCTTACCTCTTGTTCTGGGGCAAACTCTAATATTTTGCATTTTCCCCTCACTCTCTTCTTTTGCTGGTCACCAGTACAAGTAGAGCGGTCAATCTCTCCAACAAGCTCGACAAAGGGTCTAGCCCTTCCTCTGGCTATCCAAAACTTTAAAAGACACAATGTTGCCTAGAGACGCACTTTAAAGAAATAGGACTGTAATTCTATTATGCGGTGGGTCAGAACTGAACATTTTGGACAGAGTTTCTATTTTAACTATACTATTGGGTTTTCAAATTAAAGTGACATTAAACCCCCAGATTTTTTAACGTAAACCAATACTGTAATGTGTGCCTTACTGTAATCCATGGTAGTTTCCCTTCTCTTTGCTGCTCTCCCTTTTAAATCTGTATCTCTTCTCATGCTGGGCAGAACTTCTGTTTTGCAGCAGACTGCCTTGTCTCTGAAATGGATACATGGTGTCTGTGTGTAGGTTTGCAACCTGAGCCAGCACTACAGGAAGAGGCACTCAGCTGCAAAGGGAAGTTCTCCCCAAGCATGATAAGAGATATGGATTTAAAAGGAAGAGCAGCAAAGAGAAGGGAAACTACCATGGATTACAGTAAGGCACACATTTCAGTATTGGTTTATGTTAAAAGATCTAAGGGTTTAATGTCACTTTAAGTGAAACAAAAAAGTAGCAAAATTCAGTCCAATGATGCAAATAAGTAACAGAAAATACAGCTTAATTTTGTGAATGATCGGGGTATACAATGCATAGCTAATACGTCGTAGGCTGTGGCCATGGCACCGTGGTGTGCCTTCTAGCTTTCTCAGGGATGCCTCAAAATGTTGTGGTATTGGGACTGTGATGTGAAGGGGGCTCCTGATGTAAAGAGAGGACTCTGATGTGAAAATGGGGCTTCTGATGTGAATGGGGGGCTCTTTTTATATATAGGGGGGGCTACTGATACAAAGGGTCACTTTGATGCGAAGGGGGTGGGATGTTAATTTGAAGGGGACACTTCAATGTGAATGGGGAAACCCACTTCATGTGTTTTTACATGTGTGGAAGTCAATGGGAACACAAACGCAGGTTGATGGAGATGAACTGTAGATCCAAGTTCACCTGTCAATAAACACAAAATAATCTCAGAAGAATCTTAAAACTGATGTCAAATGCATGTAGAATGTGCCTGAAAGCAAGCTGCATTTGCCCACTGACACAAGCCCAAAATTCAGAGCGTACATGGCTTGTAACAGTACCTTCTATCCCCTCCATTCTGTAAAGTGGCTACTAAATCTACACGGCTTACAACCTGATTTGAGGATCTAAATAAAGTTGCTATTTAAAACCCATGTGAGATATGATAAGCAAACAAAACAATGGCCAGGGCTTTGAAGTAGTAAGAGTCACAGTTTCAATTAGGAAGCTCCAAACAATGGTATACAAATATCCCCATTATCTACAGATCTAATGAAGATATTAC